GTCTCTTGCCTCGGGAGACATATCCAGAAAAATGTTTCTATGGCCAATGTAAAAAAAAAAAAAAAAAAATTACTGCTTGTGCTCTCTTCTAGGATTTTTTGGTTTCAGGTCTCATACTTAGGTCTTTCATCCATTTTGGGTTCATATTTGTGTTTGGTGTAAGAAACGGGTGTAGTTTCATTCTTTTGCATGTAGCTGTCCAGTTTCTCCAACACGATTTGTTGAAAAGACTGTCTTTTTCCCATTGTATATCCCTTCCTTCTTTGTCATAGATTAGCTGACCATAGAAGTATGTGTTTATTTCTGGGTTTTCTCTTCTGTCCCATTAACCTATGTGTCTGTTTTGGGGTCAGTTCCATACTGTTTTGATCACTACAGCTCTGTAATATAACTTGAAGTCCGAGATTGTGATGCCTCCAGCTTTGTTCTTATTTCTCAAAATTGCTTTGGCTCTTCAGGGTGTTTTGTAGATCCATACAAAGTTTAGGAGTATTTGTTCTAATTCTGTGACGTTCACACAAACAAATGGAAGGATATACCATGCTCATGGATTGGAAGAACCAATATTGTTAACACGTCCACACTCCTCAAAGCAATCTACAGATTTAATGAAATCCCTATCAAAATACCAACATTTTTCACAGAACTAGAACATATAATTCTAAAATTTTAATGGATTCACCTTCTCTCTTCTGAGTCGTTTTTTGCAGTTTTTCTTCCTTCACCAAAGTCTCGTCTCTTCTTTCCCTGCCTCTCTTTCTGTCTTTCCTTTAAAGTGCAGAGCCCCACTCGATCCATAAGAAACTCATGGAAACTCTCTGTCCTTGGCCAAGTTAACATTGTTTCTATTCCTGACGGAGGCAGGTTTGGCTTTGGTCTTTGCTGTAATATTATGACTTCCTTAGGAAGCTGTGCTAAGGTGTACTATGAGCTATGCTAATAATACTAAGGGATTATTGATACTCTGACCCTAAAGAAATTCTGACCTACACAAATGAAAGTGTGTTGAAAATAATGCAAATGTTTTCCTTAAACTTGGCTTTCTGCAGTTGAGAAGTTACTCCTTCACTTTTAAATTCTTACCTAAAAATTATTTATATCCCTGGGGAATGTTTTCTTTCCTTCAGAAATGATTTATTGATTGCTATGTGCGTACTATGAGTCACCGGTCAAAAAAGGGAGAATTCAGTACATTCGGGTGTGGGGGTGGAGGGAAGACAGCTAACATTTTTGCATTCCTGTTCATACCGAAGTCTGGAAATCATTATCTTGGTATGAATCCTGACAGTTGCCCTCTGAGATATGGAGCCTATCATCCTTATCGCACGCATGATGAGACCGAGGCTCAGAGGAACTAAGGTACTCACCAAGGTCACATGGCCTGTAAGGCGCAAGAGGCAAGGACCAAGTCCAGGTGTCCTAGACTCCCACCCCCACACACCATGCCTCCATGTGGGGGGGTTCAGAAAGTTCTAGAAAAGCCTCAAAAGAGAGGCTGATATTTGACTGAGGGGACCTAGCAAAGCCATGGGTTTCATTTTTTTTTTAACAGGTTAGTGGGGGATATTTGTGATTTCCTCCAAAGCAGGATCCCTCTGAAGTTTGGAAACAAACATCCTATTACTTTGTGTAATTCACAATTCCACCCTATAGCTTGCTTGTAGACAAGGTCTCCTTTCTGAGTTCTGAGTAAGCCTTTCTTTTAAGATGCTTTTTTCTAGATGGTCATTAGCTAATTGAACGTTCTTTATGTCTGCTCAGTCAGTATATGAAGCGTCATGGTAAAATGCCCTTTGAAAATCAGGAATGGGAGACGCTGGGCACTCCACTGTGTTGTAAACCCATGTCCTGTGGATCAGGACAGCTGAGAGGAGTCACCCAGGAAGCTAGGACCTTAGTTTGGGGCCAGGACACTGGAATGAGAGGCAGCAGTCTGAGCTGGAACAGTGAGTTCAAGTCCTGACGCCCCCATTGGCTGTCAGACTGATTAATATGGGTCCAGCTCTTAGAACAGTGCCACCCAGGGTAAGTGCCAGGTTAGTGTTGGCTGCTCCCAAGTAGATATGAATGGAAAGATGGGAACATTGGTGGCATCTTTGGGGTTTTTAGAACACTGGTTAAGGAAAGTAGTGATGAATTAACCTTGGTTTATGGAGTCCCTTTGAAATGGTTTATCATGCTCAAGGCCACAAAGAATTCATCCTCCCTGTTTGTTGACATGGGAAAAGACCTAGCCAGCGGAATCTTAGAGGGGATAAGATAAGTCAACACAGATGCCCACAGTCTGGGCCGTCCCAGACCAGCGAGGAGGCGGACACTGGATGTGGGCAAATGGCCAGCACCACCAGGGAAGGGGTTCCTGGTTCCTCGTGCCAGGCCAGACCTGCCCTGCCTCTCCTCTCAGAAGCTCTTCCTGAGTCAGCCGGCTAACACCTTTTCCAGATTCCACTCATCTGAGATACTGGGATCACTTGGAAATGCAGCTTCTTGACTGACCTCCCAAATCTTCTTTAAACCTTGGGAGCCTGAGGCTAAAACCCCCTTTTTAAACAAACAAACCAAAAAACAAGAAAACACTTTTAAAAATAATGGAAATAGGGATACTGGGTGGCTCAGTCGGTTAAGCCACTGCGTTCGGCTCGGGTCACGATCCCACGGTACTGGGATCGAGTTCTGCCTCGGGTTCCTTGCTCGGCAGGGACCCTGCTTCTCTCTCTGCCCCTGTCTACTTCTCTGCCTGCTTGTGCACTGTCTGTCTGTCTCTCTCTCTCTCTCTCTGACAAATAAATAAATAAATAAAATCTTTAAAAAAAAAGCAATGGAAATATTATGTAAGTTTGGGAAAAGGAAGGAAGGAACTTTCAAAATGTAGTATAAAGGGTTTTTAGCTGAACGTGGAATTCCCCCTCTCTCCTCTGTTTCCCAGATTTAACCAGAGTTATCATTCTCTTTTTGTGTTTGGAGAAGTTTTATTCACAGTATATGAATATCTGTAAGCCTTTTAAAAATCTACACATGATTTTTTTCCTCCATGTCTTACCTTTTCAACTTAGTATATTAATGATTTTTCTAGAGTATCAGTGTAGATCTACCTCTTTCTTTTCTTTTTATTTATTTTATTAGAATGAATTATAAAACTATTTCCGTGAGATAGGGAAATTCTGACCTCTTACCTAATACCACAGCAAAAAGTAAAATGCACACCAAACTTGGCATAATTACAAGGAAAAATGGATCTGTTCCCAGTTACAGTGGGGACTTAACCAAGGCTCCCTGAAACGGACCTGGGTCAGCAGGCCACGAGCAAGGACAAGTGACACAGGAGACCTGAGTTGCACCGTACAGAGGCAGGACCGAGGGGAGATGCAAGGGTACATCAGAGAATGCACATTTCTCTACAGGCTCACACGGGCCATTTCGAAGAACAGAGAGGGGCAGAGACTTGGCTATAAAGGAGATCTGGCCACTGCTGGTTTCTTCCAGTTGTAAGTTCTGAAAGAGTTTTGTCTCTCACCTGTTTCTTTCCTAAGTTGGTTCTGCCCGTTCCTGCTTCACGCCCACCTGTTTTATGACCATCTTGACTGAATGCCCGTCTGCGTTAGGTCTTCCTCCTTACTACAGTTGTTCCATAAGGACCTTTTTTGTCGTCTTTTACACTCGTGGCAGGCGCGGACTGTTAGGTATAATGTTCGTCTGCTCATGGCAAGGTTTTTCAGGTGAGTTTTCATCCTCCCAAGGGAAGCGGGGCTGCTCTCCTCTCTTGTCCTTTTCCTTGTGTCTGTGTATAACGTTAAGCATGTTCCTCGGGACTAACATGGTGCAAGAATCCTGTCGTTTCCCCACCTTGCATTTGTCAGTAATGCTCCATTAGTGTCTGATATGGACAGTGTGCTGCACGTCATTTGCTGGATTAGTCGGTTATCTGACTCCCTGGCTGGGAGGGAAGGGTCTGTGTGTCTGGCTCGCCGCTCACCCCAGTAATGAAATCAGTGCCTTAGACATAGTCAGGACCCGATAAATACTTGTTGGGTAAATTAGCACAGAGGAGCTCAAAAAGCAAAACAAAGGCCAAAAAACCAGATTTGGAATTGAAGTGGTCGTTTCAGATCCCATCCATTCAAGTTTTAATACGTTATCTCCATACTGAAGCCTGTGTGTCTGGAGTGGTGGGGAGGTGTGGGGAGACACACTTAATATTAAGACATGGAGCCCTTGCATTTTTACACACCCATTACTGGAATACAAAGTACCTCTTCCCCTGTGTGGGCCGGGGCAGGGGAGATGTGGCAAGGTGCATGTCCCAGTCAATCTGGCCCTTCGGATTCTAAGAATTTTCCCCGTAAGGGTGCTCACACGGTCTGCAAGGCCATAGGTGTGGTAAGAATAGAGGCTCCTGGGTGGCTCAGTGGGTTAAAGCCTCTGCCTTCAGCTCAGGTCATGATCCCAGGGTCCTGGGATCGAGCCCCGCATCTGGCTCTCTGCTCAGTGGTGAGCCTGCTTCCCCCCCCTCTCTCTGCCTGTCTCTCTGCCTGCTTGTGATCTCTGTCAAATAAATAAATAAAATCTTAAAAAAAAAAAAAGAATAACTATAATAGCAGTTGTTTTGGGACTGGTGTTCAAAGCCGGGTCCATACACGATAGGGGTGCCTATGATGACCCACTGAGATGGGACAGAAAAGCGGCAACTGTGTATTTATTTTCCATCTGCATAAAAGAAAGGAAGCCTCGCCAACATTCAGTGTTAGAGTAACTCTGTGTCACCACTCGGTCAGCACCGCTGGGTCAGATGGCCACTCGGACACTGAATTTCCAAGACATCCTGAGGGAAGGGGGACAGACAGAGGCTCCCACCGAAGTTACTCATTTGTTTTTAACACACAGCTGCCGTTTGCAGTTCCCACGCACGGGTTCAGTGTGTTTCTAGACTGTGCTCTCTTACCTTACGTTGGTGAGCACGCGGGTAGCCCCGGCCGTCTCAGCTGTGACCCTCCCTCTTGCAGGGACGCCCTGGCGGAAGGAGCAGACCGCGGACCTGCAGCGCGTGCTGGCGCGCGTGGACCGTGACATCCCGCTGGTGCTGGTCAGCGGCAACCACGACGTGGGCAACACCCCCACGCCCGAGACTGTGGCGGAGTTCCAGCGGACCTGGGGGGACGATTATTTCAGCTTCTGGGTGGGGGGCGTCCTGTTCCTCGTCCTCAACTCCCAGTTCTGGTACGATGCCTCCCGATGCCCCGCCCTGAAGCAGGCGCAGGACCAGTGGCTGGACCAGCAGCTGAGCGTCGCAGGCCGACGCCATTGCCAGCACGCCGTCGTCTTCCAGCACATCCCGCTCTTCCTCCGCAGCATCGACGAGGACGACGACTACTTCAACCTCACCAAGTCCGTGCGGAAGGAGGTGGCCAACAAGCTCACCAGAGCAGGTAGAGACGCGGGGCCCCAGGGGTTGGCTGGGAGGGCCGTCTGGAGGGGAGGCTTCCAGATCCTTCTTCCCCCTCCTGCAGCCTGGCGAAGGGTAGAGAAGATGGGGATTTGGACCGAACTGGGTTCTGTCCCCAGCCCCACCCTCCACGGGCAGTGTGGTCTTGGGCAAGCTGCCTAGCCCTCCCAGCCTCAGTGTACTCATCTGTAAAGTGGGAGTAGCAGTAGGAGCTCTCACATAGAGTGGTCATTAGCGTTAGAGGAGGGCGGCCTGCAGGTCATTACAGTAGCCCCTAGCCTACCAAGTAGTGAAGTTGTGGCAGCTGCTGGAAGCCGAGGACGGGGTCCTGCGGGTGTGCGGTTAACGGAGGGCGGCCGTGGACAGGGTCCTGCGGGTGTGCAGTTAACGGGGGGTAGCGGGGGTCTGACTGCTGTGCACTGGCCCCGGGAGAAGGGCTGACGCTAGGAGCATCTGCTCTCATACCTCTGGGAAGCAGGCATTTGGTCAGCGGCAGGTGATGTTTAAGAGCTGGGCTTTCCACCAGTATTGGATATAACCTTGGGAGGTCCTGGGACATGCAGGTCCTGGAGGCGCCTCCTTGGTTCTCCCGGGTTGAGGACTGAATTCTCCTCCAAAGCCAGGAGTTTAACCCACTGTCAATTATCAGCTAATCACATGTTTGACACAAGTGTGTGCATACAAACATGCACACACACACACACACACACGCACACGATGGCGTACCGGTCCGTACACCCTCCAGCTCCCTTCCTGGCCACCCCGCCATGTTGCTGTCATGAGAAATGGGTCTTTCTCGCTGACTCCGTGCATGGCCAGTGACTTGGCAGGATTCCAGTTCTGACAACCGTTGTGTCTCTTGTTTTTGTTTTAGTGCCTCCTTTCAGATCTTTCCAGAATGTACTTCCTTATACGCTTCTAACATTTAAATACATCAGTTTATTTGTCAGGAGATAGGGAGAGGGAGGTGGTGGCCGACCTGGTAGCAAGCATTCATTTAAAAAAAAAAAAAAAAGTCTTGACACTCTTCTTTTCATCTTCAAGCGTTCAATGTGTTCGCATTTACTTGTGAAATGTACAATAGGCCCTTTTGTATTTTTGAGACATTTTACAAAAAGCTTGCATAATTGGAGACATTTTCCAACTGTTCCGTGGAGATGAAGTTGGGAAACTTCTATTGAGGTCTTTGAAATTTCGTGCCATGCTTAAGCTGGTGCACAAAACCGTTTCGATGACAAGGAAATAAAGTGTCAGGATGGCGTCAGTGCCACCGTGGAGACTAGTTGTAACAGAATAATGCCAGAGAGAACATTTAATGCCAATGAAATGAGTCCTTTCATATCAAATGTTAAGTGATGCAAATGCCATCCCCGTGACTGCTCTTTGTTCTTGGCTCCTGCCGGCCACCTTCTCGAGTGGCACGTGGTTCTGGGCTTCCCCTTGTCGGAGGAGCAGATGCAGCCCACAGGCACCACCAGATACGGAGACCTGTAAACACATATAAAGAGAGAGCCCACAGCCCTAACAGGGCAGCCCCTCAGGGGACGCCCGCTGCCCGCCCACCAGGGACCTGGCCTTGTATCTGGGATGTACCAGCCCCCTCCCCGTGAGGCTCAGGACGGACTCGTCTGCACACCCAGAGCCAGCCTGTGTCTTGGGAGGTGGGCTCAGCCCACGGATGGATCTCCACCACCCAGAGGCCCAGTGATTGATTGGAGTGAGACCAGGACCCTCCCCTCAGCCCCAGGGGCAGAGTCTCTTCCCATGGGCAGAACGGTCTGGGAAGCCAAGCAGTGATTAGGAGCCCGCTTGCTCAGCGTGAGACAGAGCAGAGGAACTGGCGGTTCGTGCGGCTCTCCGTGGCACCAGGCTCCGGAACACTGGCTGAGCCATCTCCAGGAGGGCCTCCTTGCCCAGGATACTCTGATATTTCTAGTGCCTTTAGCATCTCTCGGGACTCTCTGCTTCTTGGGGCCACCTTCTGGGTCATCACGGCAGCTCCACAATGCCCCTCCCTTCTGGGGTCCTCCCCCAACCACCAGGACGAGGCCAGGCTCTCACTCTCCCCCTGGTCTCCGCCTCCTCCATTTCACCTAGTCTGGCTACTGAACTCCGGCACCTTCCGTAGGAGGGGCCTGCAGCCCCACCCGGTTCTTCCTCAGCTTCCCTTGATCCTGGCAGACTTGTTCGCGTTGACCCATCTCAGTCTCCCGCTAGGCTCGGCTCCTGGAGCATGGGGATACTGCTGTGCTCAGCTCTGCGTTCAGGACACCTGGCTCGGGCCTTAGCTCATCATCAGCCGCATCGGTGTTTGTGGAGCGAGTGAAGGACTGACATGGCCCTTTTATCGATGCAGCACCAGACCAGGTCCGTGCTCTCACGGGGCTCCCAGGCCAAGTTTTCGAAGGTGTGCTCCCAGTCCCGCAGCATCCCAGCCCCTCGTTCTCGGGTAAAGCCAGTTGTGTGCCTCTGCCCTGATCCACGTGCTGGCTGTCCAGGTTCACACAGCAGCCTGTTCTCTCTTCCCACGCGGCCCCCCCTCTATACCCCCCCATGCACCTTCACGTAGGAGAAGGCATCCTCTCGGTCTCTGGCCTCAGGATCTTCATCTGAGCTTGCTTAACCAGGCTGCAGCAGAGAGATGGGTGCCCTTCCTGCTGTCGCCTCTCAGTTTTAGTGGCTTCTCAAACCAGGCCCTTTGCTCTGTGGCCTTTCAGACCCAGAAGGGACCAAGGGCAACGTTGGGAAGAGATCAGAGACCAGATGTGGACCGGCTCGGTGGCAGGCAGAGTGACCTGCTTGCTTTGGCCGCAGGGGTAGGTGGGCTGTCGGGGATAGGCGCACCCGCGACTCAGTAACGCAGGCAGTTGCTCGGGTGACAGAATGTAATTCTCGGACTCGTTTGGGAAAGCCAAAAGTTCCAGTGACATTCTGTAAAATTCATTAGTAAAGGACCAGGATAAAACCGGGTGATGCCGCGGCTTCGTGCGGCCTCCGGCTTCTCCCCCCACAGCTCTGTTAGTCCCTGGTCCTGCTCCGGTCTCATTTATCTCCTCGTGCTAAAATGCTGGCACTCAGAAATATGTCAAAAGCTCATCAGAATATCAGGGTAGCTTTTAATTATGATAATTGTGTTGTTATAAAATATCCTTTTAAAGAGTACCTCCCTCCACAAACCACCGTGGAGGTAGAACCCAGCTTCCTTCCAGCAAGCTTCATGAATAATTCTGAATCATTGTGTGGGATGAATAAATGATTTAATAACGAGCATCAATAATCATCTCTCATTGTTGCATTAATTTTTCAAACGGGAGGAGGTAAATGAGGAGGAGGGTGTTACCGTACAAACGGGCCGCTCTGCGCATGGGGACACGTTCTATGAATCGGAGCCTGTGCACTTCCCTGGTCAGGTTTCCCTAGAAACAGACGCATTCTGTTTTCGCTTGTGAAGCTCGGTGAGAAACCGTGTTTGTGGGCTACAAAGGCATCGTCGGTCGTCAACGGACAGAAACAGTTATCAGGGCAGGACAGGCGCACAGATGCTGTACCCGTTCTTGTCGCTCTTCCTTTCCTCTGCCCGAGGATAATCAATTTCATCACATCCACAGGATGTAGAAATTGGTTTTCCCCTTAATTCACCTGATACCTAGTTGAGTTGCAAAGACAGAGAGTAGATAATGAAATCATGGCTGAACCAGGCCATTGTCTCTTGTCCCTCAAGCCTCTTTCAGCAAAAGGTTAATATGTGACCCAGTTAATACAGATTCCAATTTAAAAACTCAATCTTGAAAAACAAAAGTCTGGCTCTTTAATGGACCCCATCTCCCTTGACATCTCGATACCTTTTCCTTTTTCCATTCTCAACACAGAGATGAGAACCGTGTAGTTGGGAGCCCAGAGCGAATTTGGCAATTACGGTAACTTCCAATAAGTTGATCTTTCCTACAAAAGTTAATGAGCAATTTCACAGAAATAGCTTCATCTCCAGTATTGATGCTTAAAAACAAAAAACAACTAGAGAGAAAGAGCCCGTGGTTATGGTTTTAGAATGTCAAAGTTTAAAAGAACAAAAAGGTCAGGTTTTCAGGTCCACTTTATAGGAAAAATAAAACCTCAGGTCCTACTCTAATGTCTCACTGAGTTGTATTGAAATTATTTGTTTATATCCTGATTCCTCTAAGAGACACAGCCCCAGCTTCCTTGGCCTCTGTGAGCCCAGCCCCTTGCCAAGACTGTCGTGCAGTAGCCCCATCAATAAATAAATGTTGGTTAAGTGGGATGGAATTAAATTTGATTTACATACTTACCAGCAGAATCATTGGTAAGGTCTGGATGACCTGTGGATTGGTGATTGCCAACTGGCTTTTGGATAGGAAATGTATCACCTAGAGCGGTGGTCGGTAACCGTTTTCCGTGAAGGGTCACACAGTGAACAGGGTGGGCTGTGGGCCCCGTAGCGACCGTTGAGCTCTGCCATTGGAAGGCAGAGGCAGTTACAGACACACGTAAGCAAACCAGTATGGCTGTGTTCCAGCAAAACTCTATTTACAAAAGCAGGCGTGGACCCGCAGACCCTACTTTTCCTGCCCTTGGCTTAGAGAAGTCTTCCTGTTGCCATGCAGCGCCTGTGCCCTCCCCTGAAGCCCTGTCCACACCGTGCGTGTGTCTCCCTCCAGCGTGCTCCCGGTGACCCCATGGCGGCAGCTGCCTAACTTACTGAGGGCTCTGCCCAGAGCAAGCCTCGGGCTCCTCAGCAGAGGGTACGCCTGGGAGAGGCACGTTCCCCTGGAGGCCCATGACATGACGTGGGGATATGGGGTGGGAGGGGATAAGGGGGCGCTTAGAATCTAATACTTAAAATCTCACCCTAAGATCTATTTTCTACATGCGTTAGAAAAAAATGTAAGTAGCTCTTCAAGTTGAAGAAAAATACTCAGGAAGCGATAGCACTGGCAGCCTGTGGGCGAGGCAGAAGTCGTGGCG